GAGAGAGAGAGAGAGAGAGAGAGAGAGAGAGAGAGAGAGAGATGTGTGTGGGTATCCACAGCGGCCAGAAGAAGATGTCAGATTCCCCTAAAGCTAGAGTTACATGAGTACTGGGAATTGAACTCAGGTCCTCTAGAAGAGCAGCAAGCACTTTTAACTGTGGTGCCATCTCCAGTTCCCTTGACAATCTTAAATGCAATTTTGACTAGTTATAACTTCAGCCTCCATTTTAACCAATCCTAGACCACCTTAATTTCCATGTTGTCACAAATGAAACACCCTTAACCTTCATATTATCTAGTCTTTAAAATACTCATTGTTCACTTGACCTTTCTGAGTCTAACTCATCCTCTATGTTATCCAGTTCTGGGCAACCTCAACCTTCAGTTTGGCCAATCTTGAGTGATATCTTCTGTGGATGACCTCACCTCTGCTTGGGCTGGACTCAGATAACTGTAGTCTTCATTTTGGGCCTGTTGCAGACAATCTCAGCGATCACTTCAGCCAACCTTGACAGCAATTTTAATTGCTTTTATATTTTGTCTTCATCAACACCGTATTTTTGTCTGCAAAGTTCCCTTCACGGACACTCTGCTTTTGTTCCTACTTCCATGCTTATGCTTCTTTCCTCAAAGCCTAGGCAGCGTTAACCCAAAATCAGGACAGTCTCCCTCTCTATTTCACATGGAGCTAAGTTCCCTGTTTCCCAAATCTCAAGAAAACTACAGCTTCTATTCTGAGTGAGGTTGGTTGTGGGGGGGTCTGCAGTATTCCTGACCTAGACAACCTCTTGGTTTAGACTGCTTAATGATTCAGGATGGTATCTCTAACAACCTAAGGAATTTCTTCCTTTCCTATTATTTTTCTGCTTTTGCAGGGGATTAGAATTTAGAAGACATTGCCTTCTGTGTGTGACACTGGGGCCTGGCAGGGCTTCCATACATTCCTACACATGCCTTACCATTACAATTCATGTGGCAGAGGTTCTGGGTAGGTGTGACACCATTGGTACACCACCAGGCAGAGTTCAACTGGAAAATGCCATATTCGCTGCTGCCATCTGGATTGTGGTCCACAAAAGAGGTGTCAAAGCCACTCTCATAGTGTGCCACACACAGCCCTGGGACAGAAAGAGGGTAGTTAGGAGGTAGGCATGGGGCATAAAAATAAGGAAGGCTAGGATAAGAAGGGAGAAAACAGGAAGAATTGTCATAGTTGGGAGGGTGATAGTCTTGGCTTGATTGTGAAGTGTTGATTCTGATGAGATATCAGTAATGGTGGTAGTGAAAGTTATGAATAGTAATAATAAAAGTAGTGATGTTGGTAGTTTTGACGGTGTTACTGGTAGAGACAAAGATGATGATTGTGAAGGCAGTGATGATGTGATGACATTACAGTTGAGTTAAAGCAGCCATCATAGTCATGGGTGGCTGAAAGGATCATGTTCTGGCAACCCAAGAAGATACAAAATGGAAAGGGAGGCCTGTATCTGACCGCAGTGGGTGGTTTGGAGTATGGATGAGACTTGGGGCAGCTGGAATCTCACAGTCTCCAATACTGTAGCCTTTGAATCCATCGAGGCCTGCCTTCTCCAGCTTCCTTGCCAGCTCACAGCGTTCATAAATCTTGGCATCCACAGTGGCAACCATCAGTGTTACCAAGGTCACTACCGAAGTGCCCCAGGCCCACATGACCCAAAAGCTTTTCTATCTGATTCCTTGCCTCAGACTTATCCTGTGATGGTCAAAAATAGGGGCATTCTGGAACTCTAGGCTCTATGAGCATCTAAACAGTAGATTCTGGAACTCAGAAGCCAGAGGCCTGAAGGCTTCACCATTTCCTCCAATACCAAGAGAAACACACATGAAAAAGAAAATCACTGACATATATAGAGAGATTGGGGAAGAAAAAGGGCAAAATTCAGAGATCAGGAAGAGAGGGGTTGGGATATGCAAAAGATTTACAAGATTTGGATACTAGGCCTTACACTAGGTTCACATTCCCCTATATTTAACTGTCCCACTCTAGCCTTGGTAATCATACTTTGCCACATGGCTACCTCCTTTTTCATTCACTCTGATACTCATTGCCTCTGTTCCCCCCTCTGCTGTAGTCAGTTCTGTCTTCTACACTGTGCTTTCTTCTAATTCCTTATGCTCTGCAGAATATGACCATCATGCCCTCTTTCCACCCCTCATCACTCCATTTACTCATGGTCTTAGTCTGTGCTACTATAGCAGAATACCCGAGACTAGGTAGTTTATTAAAAACAAAAATATATTTCCTCATAGTTTTGGAGGCTGATAAGTTCAAGATCAAAGTGACGGCATCTGGTTAGGGCTTTGTGGAAGAAGGCAGAAGGACAAAGTGAACCCATTTCTGCAAGCCCTTTTGGTAGTCATATTAATTTTTCATGATGGTGGAACCCTCATGACCTAAATACCTTTCCAACTGCCCCACCTTCTAATACTATGGCAATGAGAATTTTTTCTTACACTTGATTTTTAAAAGAGGGTGCATGCCATGGCATGCATGTGGAGGTCAAAGGACAACTTTGTGGTATCAGTTCTCTGCATCCATATTTTCATGGGTTTTGGTGATTGAACTCAGCTTGTGAGGCTTGCACAGCAAGTGCTTTAGCCACTGAGATAGCTCACCTGCCCTGACACTTGAATTTTAGAGGGGACACATTCCAGTCATAATAGTCATCCTTACAATCCCCTTCATTTCTCAGCACTTACTGTGCTATTCTATGTCAGTTTACTAGATTCTGTCCCATGCTACAATCACATTGTGCTGCACATTACATATTAGAAATGACATTAAATACACTGTACTCAATTACCTTTTTACCTTTATTCTCATTCTACCTTCTGTTCCCCAGTTCGCTGCCTTTCCTCCACAGATTCACTCACACCGGGCCTCATTGTACAGCTTCCTAATCCTTTATTTATAATTACCTACATTTTCTCACATCACATTCCTTCTTTACCTCCATTCATTTTCAATCAGAATCACTTTCCACTTTCACCTCAACTTCCTGACATAGCATTGGATGACTCCTGTTCACTTTCACGTGGTCCACTCTACAGCTGTGTTCTTTTACTCTGGACCTAATCATCTTCATCAATCACTCCCTCACCTCCCCTTCTCTATTCTCTAAGATGCTATCTGTATTAATTACTTTTCTGTTGCTATGATAAAATACCATGACCAAGGCAATTTATAAAAATACAAGTTTATTTGGTTTACAGTTACAGAGGGATAAAGAGTCCATCATGGCTAGGGAGGCAGGGTAGGAGGCAGCTGGAACAGAAAGCTAAGTGTTCACAGCTTCAAGTATTCACACGAAGCAGAGAAAGACAAACTGGAAATGGACAAGGCCAAAGCCCACTGCCAATGACCTACTTCCTCCAGCATGGCTACACCACCTAAAGGGTGAATGACCCACTCCAAATAGCACCACCAACTGAGGACCAAGTGTTCAGATACTTGGGGCCTATAGGAGACATTCTTATTCAAACCACCACACTACCATCCCCATCACTGCTATTTCCTGGAACTCTGGCACATATTACTCCCAAACACTAGATCAAGTTACCCACATGTACCCATGTGCTCAGTCACCTCCATAATTGCTCAATTTTCTCTTCTTTAGCTCCGTTTATTCTCACTCGAACTCCCATTACCTTATTCATATAAGGATGCCGTCAATGTAATCTTTGTTACCCTCTTCTTACTCACATTCCAGTCTATTCATTTCTAGTTGCTCACACTCTGACTTAGTGCCCCTATTCAAATCCACAAATTTTTGCTCATATCTGGCCTCATTTCCCTGCTTTCTCACTTGGCTATGTGACCTTCATCTCTTCTATTTACCTGATGAAACCCACATTCCATTCCTTCACCTTTTGCTCTCTACTAGCCATCCTTTCTCATTGTCCTGAACCTTAGTTCCATCGCTTCATACTTTCCAGGTCATCGATACCTGCTGGTTCCAGTTTGGATCTGGGTACCTACCACACTTCTGGATCACTTTAATGCACTACCTTTTTCTAACCCCAGCCTGCCCTGATTTATTCCAGCAATGCCCCTTCCCCCTCATAGTACCCCTACATCTCAACCTTATTCACATTAATCTTTATTCTCTCTCCAGGTACACCCCATTCCTCCCTATATGTCCCATCTTACCCCCATTCCATCTGACTTTTCCCCTAAATTCTCTCTCCTCATTCATACTATATCTCACAAATCATTTAGTCACTTTTTAATCCTAAGTATTCATCAACTCCATTCACACAGTGCCTTTGGTTGTTCATTCATTAACAGTTGGCACTCACTTCTACCTTTTTTCACATAGATTGTGCTTCATTATCCCATCATATACTGATTCTCATCTATAATCTCAAATTAATTTTTAAAATGTAATGATCTAATCCCTAATCTAATAGTGATTGTGTTTGTCATCTTTCTGTTGCTATGACAATATCTGAGCGAAACAGCTTATAAAGAGGAAAGGTTTATTATGCCTCATTGTTTCAGAAGTTTTAGTTCATGGTCACTTGTCTTCATTGTTTCTGGGGTAAAGCAGAATATCATGGTGGGGAGAATGTAGTAGAGCACAGCAGCTCACTTCATGGCAGGCAGAGAGAGAGAGAGAGAGAGAGAGAGAGAGAGAAATACGAATGAATCACCTTATGATGTCAGAGTCTCAATGATCCAGTTAAAGCCTAAAGGCACACATCTGAACACGGCTGCATTGAGGACAAGGTTTTGGGGGACATTTAAAATCTAAACCATAACAATCATTCCTATACTCTACTACATGCCATCCTACTCTGCTGCTAATTCATCTTCATTCCATCACTTATTCCTCTCTTTGTGCTCATTCACTCCAAATTTGGCCTTTACCCACCATTATTATCCACTGCACTCCTGTGTAAACTGTTTACTCACATTCACATTTTTTCAAGAAGGAAAATGCTGATGTTCTCTTAAAGATTCTGTTTGAGTGCACAGACAAAAACCACCACAAATAGTGTTGCCTTCAAGAAGAGGTGAGAGAATTCTTCTCTTGGAGGCAGGTAATTTAATGTTGGTATAGTTGCTCTAAGATCATCAGAGACCTGGCTCTTTGTGTGTTATTACTCTGCCAACCTCACCTGCTTTCTCATGGTCTAAAGTGACTGCTCACAATGATAAAACTTTTGTAACTGGTATAAGATGTATCTAAAAGGTTGAAATGATGACATAGCAAACATATAGGCCTTTCTCATTGCCTTTGATTTTAATTACCTGTTGCCTGAACTTTTCCTGAGGAGTTGTGAACAAACATCTATTCCCCATAGATAGGGCACCAACAATAGACCAAAGAAACCATTCTATCCAAGTCTAGCTTAGTGAGTCCAAGTCCAAACCATTCTATCCAAGTCTAGACTTAGTGAGTTTCATTGGAGTTATGTACAAGAGTGTAAATGAGGAGTTACCATTAGAAGAATGGGCAACTTATGAGGCAGCTACATCATTGAAATACAATCCTCCTTCCTGAGAAACCATTAAATACTCATATATCCTCGGGGGTGAGGCCTCATGCATCTTCTGAGGCACCTCTATAGTAGTTTTGTGGGCCACCTTGTGAGCCATTCATGAACTCCTCATGCTCTGCCTCATGTGCCTAGTGAGACCTCTTTCCCCTCCAGTAGGGAATATTAGTGGGCCCAATATTGTGAGGGTCTCACTATCTGTTCTGATTTCAAGACAGAAATGGCCCTGCCGTGCCTGGAAGACAGAGTTCCACAACAGTGCCACATCACACAGACTCTGTCATGGAACCACTTCACTTACCCATCATCTTTCCATACCTCTTCACCTAGTCACATTCTACTTAGACTACTGTATGATCAAAATACATGATAGAGCCTGGTGGCAGAATAGAACAGAAAGCAGGAGTCCTGACTCTCCAACAGGAGCTTAAGAGTGTGCTCTGTGAATCCAAAAGTAGTTTTTGATGGGAAATATCACTAGCTCAGAAACACTTCTGGATCTTGGAATCACCATACTTCCATTCCCAGCAACCCAAAAGGATACCTCCCTCTGAATATGTAAAAATGTGTGTGTGTGAGTGGGGGATGTACAAGGTAATGAGGATGATGTTTGTGGGAAGAAAGGGGCCAGATGGCTAGTTTTTACTGTCAACTTGACATAACCTAAAGTCATCTGGGAAGAGAGGACCTGAATTAACAGATCATATTGGCTTGTGGCTACATCTGTGAAAGATTGCCTTGGTTGATGATTGATGTGGGAGGGCTCAGCCCACTGTAGACAGCACCATCTATAGGCAGGTGGGCCTGTACTGTATAACAAAGATAGCTGAGCAATAGCCAGAGAGCAAGGCAGCAGACCGCATTCCTCCATGGTTTCTGCTTTGACTTCCTGCCTTGAGTTCCTGACCTTGTTTCACTCAGTGATGAATTATGACCTGGAAGTGTAAGATTAAATAAAACCTTTCCTCCTCAAATTGCTTTTAGACATGGTACTTACCACAACAGAATAAAACTAGGGAAGGCCATAAGGCTCAGGAGGTGGTGATCCCTCAAGGAGCAAGAAATCTGAGTTCCTTCTCTACTTTCTATCTTTGCCTTGTGTCCATTCCTTGGCTAGTCTTAATGGTTCTAGAATGAAGCTCCTCAGATATCTTTCAGAAATTCTGTAAAATGTTGAATAAACAAAAGAATCTTATTGAGTTATGGATCTAACTTGGAGAACTTGTGACCTTGAGCAAGTATTTCTCTCTGGAACTCTGGAACTCTCTGGACTGATGGGGGCAGTGAGACTGTTGAGATTTTCCTTTACATGCCTATGACCTAACGCAGGGGCTTTTGCCTAGATCTAACTTGAATTCATCAGGGATGTCCTTGAGACAAAAGCTGAGGCCCACTGACCTGGGAAATGGCTGTTCATTCATTGCTGATGTCTCTTTACTCTCAGGCATTTTGAACATGCAGTACAGTTTAGGACAAGGACTGCTGCTGCTAACTGCCAACTAGAACTTGGCTTTCTCTAAAACACCCAGTTTCCTCATCAAATTTACACAGGTAACCTTTTATTTGGTACTTATTTTTCAACGGTAAATTCCTATAAATCCATTGTATTTAGAAATTTGTATTGCCTCCAAATTAACCTGAGGTGTTTTTTCCCCTTAACCTCCATGCTACCTCAATCTTTCTCACATGTCTTGTTTCCTCCTCAGAGATTTCATTCTCCTTAAAGAGTCTGGAGGACCCACTTCTTCCTGGTACATGGGGCAGGTGTTAAGCAATGTTACAGTACTGTTAAAATCTGTTATAAGTCACCATTAATGTTCATGATGAGCTCTTTAAGTTCTTATTGTAAACAATCCTTCAGATTTCCATTTGTCTCTAAATAAGCAAAGACAGCGAATGGGGGCGGGAATGGGCACAGCAATTGGCAGCTGTTGGACTCTCACTTGCTGCCCTGGCTTCCTTGAGTAAAATGACTGTCAGTCAAACAGCCATCCCAATTAACTTTATGCCATCACCAGCCATTTTAAACACTCCACTGACACCTTGAGAGAACTACACAAGGATTACAGTTGATTATTCGGGCTCCTAAAGACATAACCTCTGCCAGGGCTGTTTGAACCAGTTTGTGCCAGACTTTCTGCTGTCACAAACCTTGGAGAACCCAAGAAGACCCTGCAACCTGACGGGGGAGGGTTTCCCCAGATGGTCTAGCAGAAGGTCTGTGGTGTCTGGTGCTAAAGAGGCAAAGGTGTGGTTGGTTCAAAACAAATAACTGTAATTGATCCAAACAGGTCTAGGGCTAAAGGACCCTTACCTGAGGTCCTGTGAGGATTGTACCACTAGAGGGCACCACTTACTTAGTCCACCACCTGCCTTGCCACCAAACAAGGAGAAAAACAAAAATTGCCAAAGACCAGTGATCTAAAATCTTGTCTGCCCATTTCTATCTGGTTAGAGCAAAAGGGCCCCAGCCAGCAGTAACTAGGGTACTGTTTGCAGCTATACATGTAATTTTAACTGTAGTAGATAATACTAGATTTCAGACTAGTCTTTTAAAAACTGTATCGCTTTTAAAGTTTCTCATGATGTCCAGAATAAAATATGAACCTTATCCCTGGCTGGGGAGGATCTACAGGACGTAGCCAACACCTACACTTCCTTTTTGCAACAGACTACTCTCTCTAGAGAGACAGTGTCAGCCTCCATTTAATATACTACCCATTTCATTCCCCACTGTGTTTGTGGTCCCATATAGCTGTGAATTCTTCAGATTGTTGTCTGTAGAATCCTACGGTACTTTATACGCTAGAATGTAAACTCCAGATCTATACATTGAATGGCTTTTCCCACATTTTGTCTTTCTGTTAATTACGCCTGCAACCTCGTTGCTGCCCTCAGAATTCCAGACACGAAATTCCTTCCTGTTAGAATAGTTTTCTTAATTAGGCACTCCCCTTCTCCACCCTGCCATAAGAATATTGGTGCCTGATGTCTTAGAAACGCTGATCTCTGTAGATGAAAGTGAACGCCTGCTCTGCAATACCACCCCTGACTAAAGAAAAACAGTGGACACAACCACCGCCCCCGAACAGTGACGTCACCAATGCGGCCACCTTCCCCCTGTGCCGGCGCCCAGGCCGCGTAGCCCTCGCGGCGCCATGTTGACTATTGGCGGACGCGGTCTCAGAGGCATCACTGAGCGTGCTCAGAGCCAACGGCTGTGGCCGCTTACGCCGCAGGGCCATCGAGTCGAACCGAAGCGGAAGTGTTTGTCAGGGCTGTTCTTGTGATGGTCTACTCCACAGCGCGCAGAAAATCTGGTTGAGTGCGGTTGCGGGGCGAGCGCTGGGAGTGGCGAGCTGAGTGATGGGAAGTTCTGGGGGATGAGGGAAGGGAAGTTTGTGAGTGTCATTGATGTGAGAGATAGGAGGGTTGATGGGGGCTCGAGAGGTCAGTGAATTCGAGTCTGTGGACAAAGTTATGGGGCTGGTTAGGATTGAGTGGGTTTTATTAAACTCTGGCACATTTTCCAGCACAGCGGCCTGCACAAAGGGTTCATGCGCATCCCTCACCCGCATCTTTAGTCGCGAGCCACCTCGCCCTCTCTTCTGACAGTTCATCCTAGCCCCGAGGCAGGAACCTGGGTTGCACCAATACCTAAAAGCGTCTTTGGAGCACCTGAGCGAGACGACCCCAGTGAGGTGAGGAAAAGGAAGAGGCACCACCAATGGGGATTTAGCAGGCTTTGGCTGGTTTGGAGTCTGGATGGGGTGGGCAGGGAGGGCCTGAAGTGGGTGAATTAAGGCATCATTTGGATACTAGTTAGTTCTAAAGTTCCAATTTTAGCATTTAATAACATTTGGATTATAAATTAATTGGGAAATAGAGGAAAAGAAATCAGGAACCAATTTTAGCTCCCAATTTAAACGTCCATTTATAGGCATAGAGTGCTATGTATAACTTTATAGTTAACATTTAACTTTAGCTTTAAGAAGTATTTCTTCAGTTTCATAACCTTTTTCATTTAGAAATTTAATTCAGCTTAAGATGTTTTTCCATAACATTTGTAAACGTTTATTTCAGCTACATGTACCACAAAACATGTAGATAAGTGTGCAATTCCATACATTATTTTTAATAGTTGTATAGTACTTCACCCTGAATATCTGTTTGTTCACTTATTATGAGTTTTAAGGGATTGCTTAGGTTTGGCATTATTAAAATTATGCTGGGTGTGGTGGCACATACCTGTAGTCCCAGCACTTGGGAGTCAGAGGCAGGCGGATCTCCGTGAGTTCAAGGCCAGCCTAGTCTACATAGTGAGTTCCAGGTCAGCTGGGGCTACAGGGAGGCCCTGTTTCAAAAAGACCCCCCAAAAAATTAATTCTTGGAGATAGTGATATATTTCAATGGTACAGCACTTCCTTAGCATGCACAAGGGGAAAAAAGCAATGCTGAGATGAAGTTACTTAAGGAGAAATTATGCATTATAATAAATTACTTCATTAAGGAGAATGCCTACAAAGAATTTCTGGATCAGTGTACAATTTTTACACACACACACAAGCCTTTTGTGTTTATACTTCATATGACATAGTTAAAAATATACGGGTTATAATTAAAACACAGTTTTTCCGGGGCTAGAGAGATGCCTCAGTGGTTAAGAACACTGGTTGTGTTTGCAGAAGACCCAGGTTCAAATCCCAGAACCCACCTGGCAGCTAACAACTGTCCATAACTCCAGTCCCAGGGGATCCAACAGCCTCTTCTTACCTCCACAGTCATTGCACAACACGAGTGCACTTACTTACATGCAGACAATACACACATACACATAAAATAAAAAAATAATAAAATTATATCATAGTTGTCCTTATGCTTCCAGAGAGTGGTCTCTTGGCTAACTCATGTGAGGGGATTTCTAGACAGATGATTCTGGGCACTGCAAATCTGATGGGACTCTCTTCTTACATTCCAGCTCAACTTTCATATATCTGTCTTCCAAGAAGAACTGGAAATGGCCAAACCTCAAGTAAGTATGTTGTCTGTCTATTCCTATATTTTATTTAAGTGTGATGAAATATATAGGAATTAGTGTCATAAAAATAGGAAATTAACTGGGATCAGAGAAAATGAGGAATAGCCAATCAAGGTCAAGTTAGATTGTAATTGCATTGAGGACTTAAGAGTAACAGATACAGATGCTTCTTGACTTACGAGTTTATGTCAGCTCATACATTGAAAATTCATTTAATACCCCTATCCCACTGAACATCCTGGCAGCACAGTATACTGTGGATTATAGGATGTTTCCTTCTGGTGATGACATGGCTGACTGGGAGCTGTTTCTCAATGCTGATGCCTAGCAACATGAGAGAGTATAGTATCAAGGATCTCTAGCCCAGGAGAAATCAGAATTCCAAGTGTGGCTCCTACTTAAGGTATATCAATTTTGCACCATTGTAAAGCTGAAAACTTGTTAAGGCCTTAGTTAGGATCACCTGTGGACTTTCCAGTTTGTCATTGTGCCTTCTGGCAGCTATGGTTTGCCTTATTCATTAGGATACTATTTTCTAGAGCATACTAAGGCCTTAGGGGAAGCCAAGGTTTCCTGGAATTGCACTTTATTACATTTATTTGCTGTGTCTTCATGTGACAGTCTCTTCAGTAATAGATTAGTGATAAATGTGTCCCTGGTTTCCTGCAGTTATTTCCCATAACATTCCTTAGAGAGAATGGAGACACAATCAGAATATAATTTGGGAATGAAATCTCTTAGGGAAGCTGCTTCTCTTTCAAATGATTTTCTTAAAATATTTTTTCAGTTGGATTTTCAATTCCCTTTCGACTAAAGGACAAACTCCTAGAGATAGTCACAGATTACCATTCAATTTAAAAATTTTAAATTACAGTGAAATTGATCTCGCCTTTATATAAGTTGCTAAATGTTAACACATCTACATTGATGTAACTAACTGATCAGTGGTATGGAGAATAGTTTCGTCACCCGAAAAAGCTGTCTCGTGCTATTCTTTTATAGTCGTATTCGCTCCCTTCCATAATCTCAGGCAGCCATAGATCTAGTCTTTGTCATTATAATTCTCAATTGTGTCATCAAAATCTAATAATCTTATTCTGAAATTATACATTTCTGTTTGAGATGATTGATTTATGCACAGTTTGAAGAATAATACAGAGAGGTCCTGTATACCCTTTTCTTCAATGGAAACGTCTTTCAGAACTATAGTACGGTGTCATAATTGGGGTATTGACATTGATATGATCAGGCACAGAAACTGCATCACTTTCAGGCTCCCTCAAGGCCGCATTCATTGTTCCATACACATACCTGGACTGTTGGAAGCTACTGTCTGTTCTCTTTCAGGAATTTTGTTATTTCAATTATATGGTATAAATGGAACCATCTAGTAACAAATACCCAGGCCCTGTCTGTCTGACCTCCTACCTTAAATCAGTTATCTGCTGGGCATGATGGCATATAGGTATAATCCCAGCATTTGGGAGGCTGAGGAAGGTGATGAACATTTTGGTAGATTGTGAATAGTACTACAGTGAACTCAGGCTATAGATGTCTGTTGAACATAACTCAAATTTTTGGCTATATGCTCAGAAGACGGATTGCCAGATCATATCCTGGTTGTATTTTATGTTCTTTTAAAACCTTTACATTGTTTTCATATGGCTTTACTGATTTCCATTCCTACCAATCATGTACAGGGCTCCCTTTACTTCACATCCTCAATAACACTGTTATAATTCTTATTTTTGATAATAGCCATTCTGAAAAATATGAGATGATGGCTCATGGTTTGAATTTGTATACATATTCAATGTAATGAGTAGTGATATTGAATATTTTTTTCACATATCTATTGGGCATTTTTATGTCTTTTTTTTAGACAGTGTCCTGGGCTAACATTGAACTTCCTATGTAGTAGTGTAGGCTGGCCTCTCAAATCCTGTATTTACAGATTCATGCTAGCATGTCTGCCTGTATGTCTTTTTTTAGATGTGTCTATGTGTCTGTTCAGATTACTTGCCCATTTTCAAGTGGAGTTGCTTACTTGCTATTGAGTTCTCTCGGGGGGGGGGTATTAATGCCTTGCCAGAAATATACCCTGCAAATATTTTTCCCAATCCACAGGTTCACATTGGTGTTTACCCCTGTGGGGTTTTTATTTGTTTGTGTTTTGGTTCTTGGCTTGTTTTGTTTTGTGGATTTTTTTTAGAGGGATAGTTGGTTTGTTGGTTGGTTGTTTTGTTTTTGAGACAGGGTCTCACTATGTAGTTTTGGCTGGCCTCAAACTCACTACGTAGACCAGATTGGCCTCAAACACAGAGATCTACCTGCTTCTGCCCCCAAGGGAGGGGTTGTTTTATTTCATGGTTTGTTTGTTTTTTAGGTCTTGTTTTATGGTCCAGATTGGTCTCAGACTGACTGTGTAGTCCTGTCTGGCTAGAAACTCTTGATCCTTCTGCCTCTCAGCCTCTAAGTGCTGTGAGTACAGGTGTGTACCACCATGCCCAGACCCTGTGTTTTTATCTAGGAGTTTACAGTTTGTTTGTTCTGTTGTGTTGTAATCTTTCCCATCACCAGTACTAAAGTGCCTTCATTAATGCACCTTATAGTAAATCTTAAAATTAGGTAATGTGAAGTCTCTAACTTTATTCCATCTTACCAAAGTTGTTTGGCTATTCATATTCCTTTCTTTTTGCCTTTCTGAATCAATTTTAGGATAATCTTGCTTATATATTTTAAAATGTCTTCCTTTCTTTTTGCCTTTCTGAATCAATTTTAGGATAATCTTGCTTATATATTTTAAAATGTCTTCCTAGGACGTTTATAGGAATTGAATTAAGATTAAAGGTCATTTTTTAATATGCAAGTGATTTATTTTAAAACTATTTTAAAATAGTTTTAAATTTATAAAATAGTTCAGGGAACATCCATGCATTACTTCCTGAGGTTTATCTGTTGTCAAGATTTTGTTGCATTCACTAGATTTGTCTCGATGCTTCAGTCTGTGTTTCCAAAAATAAGGATATTTCCCTTTAAACTACAGTATATCTCTCACCCTCAGTGCATTCAACAGTGCAGAGCCTTTTCCTACTCATGCTCTTCTTTCTCAAATTGACATATAATGTATACATAGCATCTTGGCCTTACATATAGAACCCAACCCAAGGCCAGCTAAAACATTTATTGATAGCATCTGTTCAGTATTGTTAATCTGGAACACTTCCACAGCCCCTGTCTTATAAGGCATTAGTGTCTTTTGAACAGCATCCTCCCTTTTTAACCCTCTTCCCAGCATGTTCCTCATTTGTGATTTGCCTGATGTTTCCTTGTAACTAGGCTCATGTTATGTACTTCTAGATGGAATACTACACAAGTGACATCATGCCCTTCTCTGGTTATCACATTCAGAGGCACATATATTGCCCATCTGCGCCTTGCTATGGTTTCTCCATTATGCAGTTATTATTTTTTCCACAACCAATAATAAATCTGTAGAGAGATATAGTAGAACTATGAAATAGCCTGTTCCTCCTCAAGGATAAATTTTTATAACAGTACTTACACTGTTTTTAATAAAAGTTACCACTAAATATAAAAGAAACCTAATTCACTTAGAGTGAGAGTTTTATACTTGAATTAGTTCCATGCCAGTTTAAATATGTTTTATTGTACTAGTCTTTGTACACTGGGTGTTTATGAAAAAACTGCTTATTAGCTGTTTGTGGTCACTGTAGGAAATAGGCAATATGATTGTCTATCTCCCTTTTTATTGATTTTTGCAAATTTTTTAGAATATATATTTTTATTGTTTTTAGATCCCCTATCTGCTCCTCCCTATTACTGTCCTCCCCAGTTTCATATACTCTATTGTATAAATACATATTAAAGCTATTTATAAAGTCAAATTTGTGTCCCCATATGTCTTTTGGTGTGGGTCCATCCCATGAAGCCTGGTTAACCCTTAAAAGAAGCTGACTCTCCCCTTCCCAGCATCTGTCAGCTTCCAATAGTTCCTCGGGTAGGGTTGGGGTTTCTTACCCATTTCCCCACATCTATGCTGGGATTTTGTCTAGCTTGAGTTTAAGGGGGACTTGTATATGCTGTCACCATTGCTATGAGTTCATATGAGTAACTTCCTGGCTGTCTGGAAAACTCTTGTTTCCTTGTGGTTATCCACCATCTCTGGCTCCTACAGCCTTTCTACCGCTTCTTCTGCAATAATCCCTGAGCCTTTGGAGGCAGAAGTTTAATATGACATAGGTATCCCATTTTGGGATAATCCCTTCATGGTCTCTTATTCTGTGCACATTGGCCAGTTCTGGGTTTCTGTATTAATCACCATCTGCTGCATAAGGAAGCTTTTCTGGGGAGAGTTGAGTGATGCATTAATCTATGGGTATAGCAATAAGTAATTAGGAATCACATCATTCAATACTATAATTAGCAGAATAATAGTATTAGGCTCTCCCCTATGTCCTGTGGCTTGTCTAGACCTGATAACAATGTGAGGTATGGACTCAATCTTATGAAAAGAAAACCTTAAATCCAATTAGAAAGTGATTGATTATCATGCCAGTATTGCACCAGAGGTCATTTCTTGCCAGGCTAGTTGTTGAAGCACACAGGATTCACCACTAGATAAAGTTAATGATTAATTTTTTCTGCTGGTAGCAGCATAGCATCTTCCAGCACTATAAAAGCTATCCAGTATGTATAAGCTCTGAAGTCAGTACTAGCTTGATTTTTCCTTGTTTTTTCTGTGGCTCATGTATGTAATGTCTTCAGCAATAGGGTCTTACTATCAAGTTCTGTTGGGTAACTAAGAGCAGGGACAATGATCAGTATTGTTTGAGAGTCTATGGTGGGACCTCTAGTTAACAGCTTCAAAAGAGGTAATCCATCTGTGACATTGAGTTTTTACTTTGCTAGCCTATGGTGTCTAGTAGGAGCAATGTACCCCTGTTATAATGTAATTCTCTTCAATGTCCATATATATACTTTAAGATGTTTCTATAGAAGTAGTCTTCCATATGACTTTTTCTAAAGGCCTTTAGTGTTAGTTAACCCTCCCCATACTCCCTTCTCTGTCCTACCCTCCCATTCCCCATCCCAATTATCCCTTTGTACTCTATTATTCCCCCTTTCCCCTCTTTATATCACTACATTCTATCTCCCTCCTATGAAGCCTCCCTCCCTTGACTGTTTCCTGGCCTCTCTTTATTTTATAATTGAAACATACATATATAAGAATTCAAAGCTAGCATTCTGCTATGAGAGAAAACATGTGATATTTGTCTTTCTGGGTCTGGGTTACCTCATGCAGAAGGAAGATTGTTTACAGTTCCATACATTTACCTGCAAATTTCATAATTTCTTTTTTTTTTCTTTTTTCTTTTTTTTTTTTTTTTTTTTTTTTTTGTCTTTTTGAGATGAGGGGTCTCTCTGTTGCCCCAACTGGCCTAGAACTCCCTATGTAGACCAGGCTGGCCTTGACCGCAGAGAGAGCCACCTGCCTCTGCCTCCCAAGTGCTGGGATTAAAGGCATGCGCCACCATGCCTGGCTTTATAATTTCATTTTTGACAGCTGAATAATGTTGCATTGTACCATACTTTTATTATCCATTCGTCAGTTGATGGACAGGTAGTTTGTTCCTGTATCCTATATTATGAAAAGGACAGCAGTGAACATGGATGTAATAGGATATAGAGTTTTGGGGGGTATATCCCCAAGAGTGGTATGACTGGGTCATATGGTAGATCAGTTTCTAGCTTTTTGAGGAATCTCCACACTGATTTCCATAGTGACTGCACCAATTTGTACTCCCACCAGCAATGGATAAGAGTTCCCTTTTCCCCACATCCTTGCCATCATTGGTCCTTGTTTGTTTTTTGGATCTTAACCATTCTGAATGGGGTAAGGTGAAATCTCAAAGTGATTTTAATTTATATTTCCCTGATGACTCAAGATGTCCATTGTCTTAAGTATGTCTCAGCCATTTGCATTTCATTTTTTGAGAACTCCCTGTTCACCTCATTGACTCATTTTTTAAATTGGGTTATGTGTTTCTTTGATGTTTAGTTAAAGTTCTTTGTATATTTCTAGATAATAACTCTCTTTCATAGGTATAGGTGAAAAATTTTTTCCCATTCTGTGATGTGTCTGAGCCTTAGAGGGGTAATACAGATATCCCCTTTATGGCTGAACAGTCAAGTCACTTACAGCACTTTGACCAGTTATGAGCCTCTGCAGTAATTGTCACTCACTGTATAAAGAAGCTTCTCTGACCAAAGCCCATAGCAGAACTAATCTATGAGGGTAAACATAATTATTTAGATGCATTTGGCAGGTACATATGTCCATATAGCAAACAACTGCTGTAACTTACATACTAGGGCCTACGGCCTCTCCAGCCATAAGCTTTTGATCTAGTTAAAAATACCATATAATGATTTGTTGTATTAGGTACGTATGTGTGTGTTTTTTATTTTAAGGTTATTGTAATGGTTTTATTTTGGAATGCTCATTTTCTAATATTCATTGTCGGTATACAGAAATATGATTGATTTTTATTTGTCGACCTTGTAGCCTGTGATTTTGCTGATCTCCCTTACTACCTTTAAATTATCATGTCTTCTGTGAAAATGGAGACACTTAATTTTTCTTTTCTATTAATATGCTCTTGATGTATGTTTTTCTTTATTGCTGTTTGTACTGGTTAACATTTCCAGCCTAATGTTTAGTAGCAATGGGAAAAGTAAACACATTGGCCTTGTGTTGAATAAGGGAGGAAACATCCAGACTTTGACTGTTCAGTTTGGTGTTTTCTCTAAATGTTTTAAAGATTTTTTTTTTTTTTGGTATTTATGAGACAGGGTCTCCCCGTAGCCCCAGCTGGCCTGGAACTTGCTATGTAGGCCAGGCTGGCCTTGAACTCACAGAGATCCACCTGCCTCTGCCTCCAGAGTGCTGGGATTAAAGGCATGTGCCACCATACCCAGCTTTAGAGATGTTTTTTATTAGGCTCAGGAAATTTCTTCTTTGTCTAGTTTCCTGAGGATTTTTATTATGAACCACTCCTGATCTTTTCAAAGCCTTTTCTGTATCCACTGATAAAATCATGTGGTTATTCTTCTCTAGGCTAGTAGATTCTATTGTTGGCTGTAGAACCATCTTTAATAAATCCTACTTGGTCATGGTGACTTGAAAATCAAACACAAGTCCAAATTGTTAATGTTTGAGTAGTCAGAATTTTTTCATGAGCGATGTTTTTATTTTGCTTTTCTTATACTTTTTTCTTGCTTAGTTTTAGCATTAATGTGATGCTTCATGAGATTGAATTTTTTAACTTCTATTTTCTGGGAGCTACTGTGTAGGACTAAAATTAATAATCTTTAAATATTTCATAGATGGTGCTTAAACTGTGTGTTTACCATTTTCTTTTGGTGGGTGTGTACACACAGTTTTTGTATTAAATACTTATTTATCTCTGTATGTGAATTGAACCCAAAGCTCTGGGCTATCCAAACATTCTCTACCACTGAGTGTCTTGTTACAGTTTTTGAGACAGGGTCTTGATACAAAGCCCAACAATTACAATCAATCATTGTTAAAGCTTGTTTCCATACTCATGATACGGTCTACTTTAGCAAATATTCCACAGACTCTTGAAAAAAATGTATATTCTGCTTTTTAGCAAGGTGTTCTATATGTGTCAATTGCAAGCAGTTGATGGTATTATTGTACTTTTATATTCTTGTTGATTCTCTGTGTACTGGTTCTGTCCTTTTTAGGCTATCCTAGAAGTTGATATACAGCCCAGGCTGGCCTCAAATTTGTGGATCCTCCTGACTTCACCTCCTGGGCATTGAGATTGCAGGTGTGTACCATCACACCTGGCCCTCTGGTGTATGTATCTTACTATCTATTTACATAGTTTCTTTTGTGTTTGCTCTACAGATTATCATGTATACTTAAACTTTATATGATTGAAATTAATATTTTACTTATGTAGGTGCATACAGAACTTTACCATTGTAAAAGTCTCCTTACCTACCCCCTTTCTGCTTTAGTTGTCTTATAGCTACATACATTGAAAATTCCCATTAGATAATATTACAGTGGGTTTTTTTGTTTGCTTTTTGTTTTTGTTTTTTGAGATGGAGTTTCACTATGTTTGTTCAATCTGGCCCAAAATTCCTAGCCTTAAGTGATCCTCCTTACTCAGCCTCCTGAGTAGGTGGGACCACAACCACATGCAACTCTGTGTCTGTCTTTACATTGTTACAATTATTGCTTTCAACTATGTTAATATTTTAGAGGACTGAAGAGAAGAATAACCTACTACATTTATCCATGTCTGATGTTCTTTCTTCATTGTTGATGATCCCAGGTCTCCTTCTGGGATCAGTTGCCTATCTGTAAACTGGCTGTAGTAATTATTTCAGATCAAATCTGTTGGCAACATTTTTTTTCCTTTATTGAGAATATCTTTATTTTACCTTCATTCATGAAGAAAATTTTCAGGGCATATACATTTCTCAGTGAACTATCATTTCTTACATTTACTTATTTATTGTGTGTGTGTGTGTGTGTGTGTGTGTGTGTGTGTGTACATGCTTGTCCCACAACATTCATGTGATGCATGTGAAGGTCAGAAGACAATTTACAGAAGTCTGTTTCTCTCCTACCATGCAAGTTCTGGGAATTGAACTCGGGTTTGGTGGCAAGCACCCTTACCTGCTGGGTAGCAAGCACCCTTACCTGCTGAGCCATGTCTGTGGCTCAAATTATCATTTCTTTTTTAAAATTTATTTTATTTAATAACCACATGATTAGAAGAAGCATTTCATTACAGCTTTAACATATTCGATAACAATTTCTAGAGCAAAGATAACATCTCTTTCAAAAGTGGCTGTAAGTTTTTAGGTTCACAGTTAAATTAATATAGTTATACAATATTGAACTCAGTATAAACCCTGTAAGACATAAAATTGAATGAATTTTTAACCTTTAAAAAGATCTCCATTTCATTTTAAAAAGAAATTATCATTTCTTTTGGCACTTCAACAGTGCTGTCCTACTTCTTTTTGTACTCTGTGGTTTCAGATGAGAAATCCAAAGTTATTTGAATAGTTATTCCCCTATAGGTGTTGTTTTTCCTTTGTCCTTAGTTTTCAGCAGCTTTATCACAATGTTTCTGGGTGTGGAATCCTTTGGTTTTTAATTCTACTTGGGGCTTGCTCTGCCTCCTGAATCTACAGACCCATGTCTTTTCTCAAATTTGGAATGTGACGAGGAATTATTTCCTCAAATAACTTTCTAAACTACTTGCTTTCCCTTCTGTTTCTAGAACACTGATAATCTGAAGTTGGTATTATCCTACATGGTCCCAGAAGTGCTCTTCTTCCCCCTGCCCACCCCAGTGCTTTTCCCCCATCCCCATATTCCAGATTAGATAATTTCTGTTGATTTACCGTGAAGCTTATTCAGTCTTTTGCCTACTATCTTCAGTGTGCAATTGTATTCTTCTATTAGGAGATTATTGTCCATTTCAATTTTCAATTTTGTCCTTCTTTATATTTTTGTTTTTAATGGTTCCTAGCATGTCTATCCTTACTTCTTAGTTGTTTTTAATAAAAGATAATATAAAGAGTTTTTCAAATAGTTCCAGCATCTACATCAACTCAATCAGAGCTGAAGTCTGTCTTCTTATGTGAGTTAAGATTTTTCTGGTTCTTTGCATACCATATAATTTTGGGTTCTGTCCTGGACTTTTTGAGTAAGGTTTATGAGATTCTGGGCTTTGTGTAAATAATATGGAGAATGTTGATGTTTCTATTTGTGATAGGTAGTTGACCCAGTTGAGTTCTGGCTGCAAGTTTTAATCAGCCTTCTGTGGTTTGTGGTTTCTGTGTCCATTCAGTTTTCAAGCCTTGTCAGTTTCATTTGTACTGCATTATGCCACAATATGGTGATGCTTAAAAATGACAGCCTGATTCTTAGTATCCATTTTAAGGCCAAGAATAGACCCAAGCTGTTGAGAGCCTGTTCCTTCAGATTTCTCTCAGAACTGTTCTCCTCAACGAAGAGGCCTACTTTTTCCTTTATTGAAACAGTACATCCAGCATGAAATGGGTAAGTAAAAGCAGAATTGTCTTATCAGAGGAGAGTTTTGCTCTTTCTGAGCCTTACTGATTTAGAATAGCAGACATCCGATCACAGACAGACATTATTAATTTGATCTCATCTATTGTTTACAACACAAAGGGAGTAATTCATGTCCAATGCGAAAAGTGCTGTTTACAGTGCTTTCATATGTAAAACATATATATGCACATTCATACACTATATTGGGTGGAGAACAAGGAAGGGTCATGAGGGATTAAGGCCATATGCCCAGGTCACAAGAGGAGCACATGGCTCAGTGAGCTTGTGTACATTATAAACAATCTAAGATTCACTTTTTGGGTGTAAGGTTAACTAAAAGTCATCTTTCCAGAGTATGTCCATATTGTAAAGTCATTCCTACACATTTGCACCTGTTATGTCTGCCTCCCCACCTATGACCATTCTGGGATGCAGGCAGTGGTCTGTTCCTTAGTTCAGTTCTCAAAGGGTTTGCTTTTCTGTTTTAGATTAGATATATACATGCACTGCTTGAAGGTAATTTTGTGGGGTTGCTTTCCTAAATACTTCTTCCCCATGATTTCCCATGTACTTTTCCAGTTCTTTGCAGCCCCTCTTTAGTACCCTCTATGGAACGATGGGAATTCTCTTATATTGTACTACCTACTTCCCTCTATCTGTACCCAGAGATAGAGACAAATAGAAGATTGACTGAAAAACAACAGTGACATTTCTTTCCACTTTCTTGGAACCATAGTGTCTCCAATCAGAGAGGGATATTGTCTTCCCTCTTCTTAAATTATTATATCTAGGTGTTAGGGGTGGTGGCAGGCTTGGTGGCAACTGCCATTAGCCCCTGAGCCATCTTACTGGCCCCATCTGGGATTTAGGGGACTATACCATACTCTGCTGCTGCCATGTATTCTGTTTTTGCTGCTGAGGCTGCTAGTTTTTCTGTTGCTTGGAGAATGATAGAAAGAAAGGAGGAAAAACAAAATGGATGAGGTTGGATGTTCCCTTTTCTTAAAGCCAGACTAGAAGGTCACTTTCTGAGATCTTTGTGTTCACACCGTCTTCCAGGATTGATGCTGCTTTTGTCCTGGGCTAGGTAATACCAGAGAGTAAGTAGAAACTCAGTCCATTTGGTGTTACTTTGAATTCTCTCTCTCTCTCTCTCTCTCTCTCTCTCTCTCTCTCTCTCTCCAGACTCATCAAACTGCCATTTCCTGCCTTCCCCCCAGGTTTCATGCCTGCACTGTGTGGGAGACATGGGGTGGAATATGCTCACTCCATCTTACTTGGAGCTACATATCCCAGTGCTGTGCTGCACTGTGCTGCCCAGTCACTGAGTACATACCTATGTATTCTAGCTGCAAAGATCCAACCAGGTGGGACTGCATCAAATTGCCACTTCAGCTTCTTGTCACCATGGTTACCATGTTTCTGGGCTGCTAGGCAGATGTGGGGAGCAGTGGAAGTGCTGGTGTTGTCTATTTCATTCTAGCTTCATTGTAAGGTGTCTCTGATCCCAAACATTTTCTCTCCTGCTCCTCCCATAAAAGAGATGGAAACTTTTGTCATTACAGATGAACAGATATACACTACAAAATCCACACTACTCAGGAAGGTAAAAGTAATGTGACTATCAAAAGACGTGATTAATAAAATCACTGTCTAGAGGGCTTACCTTCATGATTGGGTCAATGTCCCCAGTGAAATTTGTCTTTTATATGTATAACCTTGTTCATTTTCTCTGTATCCATCCTGACCTCTGATTCCCCTTTTCCTCTTTATGTATTTTTATCTAGTCAGTCATCTTTCTTCTGGTTCCATTGTTCTTCCTGATATTCCAAGTTTCACTCTTAGAACTTCTTTCATTTAAAAAAATAATTTATTGACAGTTTCATGCAGGAAGATAAGCATATAAGGTGTTTTGATCAAATTTATGCCCACTCCCTCCCCTCCAACTCCTCCCATATCACCTCATCACTTTTTTTCTGATAACTTCATGTACTCTTCTTTTTTTTATGGGGCTATTTGCTACTCTAACTTTTCCCCCTCTGAAGAGGTAGCCCTAAAATCTTTTAAGGATTAGATAAGAGCTCCCCAATATTTTCGGCATTTTTGGCATTTGGAACAGAGTATGTTGCTAAGAGGCCCACGGCATTTTGACTTTTAGCCAAGAAGCTGGCTACTTTTCTTTAGGGTCTTTTTACACTAACTGCCTAGCCAATTCCTACCTCCTGTTCTTATTACACCATCCTCTGAAGAGCTTGCGGATAGGGAATCAGGATGCAGACCACTCTGGCTTCATTTTTTTAAATACTTTATTATTTTTATTTTATATGTATGAGTGTATTGCCTGCATGTATGTGAGTGCACCCGTGTTGTGCAATGCGCGGAAGTCAGAAGAGGGTTTCGGAGTCCCCTGGTACTGGAGTTAGGGACGGTTCATAGCAGCCATGTGGGTGCTGGGAATCGACCCCAGGTCTTCTGCAAGAGCAGTTGGTGCTCTTAACGGCTGAGCCATCTCTCTAGCCCCTACTCTGGCTTCTTTCATGCTGAACAGGGACACAGGGTGAGCCAATTGGGGCACCCCTTCAGGGAGTCTATCTAAAAGACTCCCAAATTGCATAACTCTTGTCTGTAGGGGGAAAAGAAAGTCCTTGACTGGTGAATAGGAGATGCGAAGGAGAAGTAAAGGCAAGAGTAATTAGCATTACAAGAACTTCCTTCATTTTTAAGAACTTTCTTTAGATTTTATTTTGTTATGTTTTAGA